GGAAGGACAGACTGCCATGAGTTGTCAGATGTCTAAGGAGTGATAGATAGGGTTATGAAATTGGGAACATGAGTAGGAGAGGGGCAGGGGGCTACTAGGTAAAGAGGAGGAGGAGGAAGTGGCCATGAGTCTTGCCCAAGGGACAAGTTAGGAACCGTTGGTCCAGTGACCGGAGCGCAGGACAGGAAACCAGTTTCCTCTATCTGCTACTAATGGGCTCTGTGACGTGGACAAACTGGCCTACTTCTCTTTGCCTCAGTGATCCAGTCTGCAACCAAGTGACCTCACCGCTTGCCTTCCTATGTAAGAGCTTCCATAGGCTCCCTGTGCAGTTTATTCTTTGACTTCTACCGGCAACTGCTTCTCACTCACTTATCACTGAAAGGCTTGTGTGCCTTTGCTCACGGACCGAGCCTGACTGCACGTTTTCTGACAGGGTCAGAATTGGAAATCAACAAATACAAATATTGACCTTCCTAGAGCTTTTCTCCAAAGACCTGGGAAGTTCAGCTGAGCTGCTGATCCTGATGCGCTTCCCTGACAGCCCTGGCGCGAATGCTCCTTTTTGCGATTAACATCAGGTTGCCCGCAGGACTGGCTGGGCATGGCCCACATCTCAGACGGCAGAGCTGGGAAGAAGCCAGGTGCTGTTATGAACTGGGTTGGCTGGCAACAGGGATCTTGGTGGGAGGACTCGGGGAGCACAGAAAGGTGCATTGCTTTGGGGGATTAATGCCTGTCCTGGCTGGAGCTGCTCCTCACAACCATATTTGGACATATGACTTAATCCAAATCGCTACCCAATCTGCCAGTAATAAACAGGTAGAAGATTTAATGCATTCCACCCAGGAGAAGAGGGCTCAGCCAAGAAGTTTCTAACTAGGTCACTGATGAGCAATCTTTCCCCTCCCTCTGTGTAATTTTTATTAATCACTTGAAAAATACGTTGAGTAATGATTGCAAGCAACTTGTCAAGCCAATTAAAAACAGAGAAAGGTAGGGCTGTGAAGCCGAAGACAAATGCTGTGCTGGTTTTAAATGAGTGTCTGTAAACCCCACTGACCTGTGAGTAATTACCTCCAAAAGAATTGGCAGCTGTGCGTTTCTCAGTGTGAAGGCTTGTTTCTTCTGAATCCACAGGGCAAACAGTTCATTATGGACCAGAGATGTATCACCAGAGCAAAATCGTTTTGAATCTGTCTTGTAGCTGCCCTTAGTCTGGTTTGTCTATTAGCATATAGACTCTTTGGCAAGGGCTTGTCAAAGGGTTTCATGCACTTTGAGCATTAAATAAAAATAATACAGAGCACTTACTAGTGAAGGTAGTTTATTTTGTGTAGCTTGCCTGAACATAAGTTCCCATAGCTTTATAATCTGTCTGACTGGAAGATAAATTGTCAAATCCTCTGATTTGATGAGGCTGAACCATATTGGGCTTTGAGGGAGAAAGAGCTGCTAGGTCACCTCACCATCTTGCTTTGGTGTGGTGAGTTTCCCTGGAGTGGATTCCCTAGGACCCTTCAGCTAATTTGGCGCTGCTTACGTTGGGTTTTGGGGTTTGGTGGTTTTTGGGTTTGTTTGGTTTGTTTTTTTTTTTTTTAACATGTCAGATAGATTGTAGGTGCCAATAATAAATATTTATACTCTTGTATTCCTTTTACTCTATATCTGTATTTTGTCTTCTGCGAAATATGGGCCAGCACTGTGGGTGCTATGAAACAACAGTACTCTTTGGGAGACAGTTGCATAGTGTGTTAGATCCTGCTGTCCAGGATGTTTCTTCCCATCTGTTCCTGGCTCAAATCCTCAGTTTTAGTCATTGCTTTTGGTTACCATTCATAGATTGAAATGAGATATTAAGGAGAGAGATACATGTATGCCATGCTGCCTTCTCTTGCTGCAGCTCTGTCAACTGGGTGGTGATAACAAAAGGCAATTAGTTACACAAATAACCTTTCCTATGGGATAGCTGAGAGTGGCCTTTCTCTAAAACTATTTAGGAAACAAATCAAAAAGCACATGCTTCCCTCTTTCCTAAAAGGACTAACAGCCCAGGTATGCGCAGGGCTAGCCATGCTAGCCTGCCACCTCTTCAACATGAGGGTCTTGTTTTGTATTGTCACCTCTGGAAACTGAGGTCAGGGAAGGGCGCAGGGAGCATAAATCAGAGCAGGAGTTTTGTTTTCTGTTGGTGCAAGGGACTTGTTTAAAGCCTCCTGTACTTGCTGAGCAAGAGTAAAATTAAATCGTGGTGTGCTGCCATGCAGTTGTGGAGGGCTTTCCCTGCTCTCCGTCTTGTAACTTGCAGCTCTCACACAGTCAGACCCCTGCTTCAAAGTCTCCTTTTTTCCCTTCCCATGCAACTGTTTTTTTCCTGTGGAAAGTAGCTGTGTGCCTGAACCCACCTGTGTTTTCTGTCTTCCAGAGTTAACGAGCTCTACGTGGATGACCCAGACAAAGACAGTGGAGGTAAAATAGAAGTGAATCTGAACATCAGTTTGCCAAACCTGCATTGTGAATGTGAGTACCCCTTCTCACTTGCCAGTTTTTCTTTGTATTTTAAGTAATACTTGAAATGGGCCCAAACTGGTACAGTGGCCCTTCTTCTGTGACAGGGTGGATGGAGATCCAGTAGCTGCAGCCTTTGCTAATACCCCATCCCTTTCTGTTCCAGGCCAGGACACCTGCTTTCTTGGACCCTGTGCTCGCTCTGCAGCCCATGTTAGTGGCTGACCTCCCTCGCTGGCTTCTTTCTAAATCTCATTTCCTTCTTTCATGGCAACCTTTTTGTGTCTGGGAGCAAGAAACCTCCTTTTTCATTTGTAACTCTGAATGCACCAGCTAGTTTGTTGGCTTTTCACACATCACCTGCCTTGTCTACCTGAAGTTTTTCTATTTGTATAATTGAGATTGCAGTCAACTGGCAGGATATGAGAGGTATATTTGTGTCAAATAGACAGTCCGAAAAGTTTGGTTACAAAGTTCTTTCTGAAGAGCTGCTATTACATATTTGACAAATTGCATTACTAACACAGTTTAGTCAAATGTCAGGATAAAAGATACGGATTTTTTCCCAGTAAAAGCAGTCCATGCTTTTCCTATGCAACCATCCTGTTATTTCTTTTGTTTTGATTTTTATTGTCTCCTCTTCCCCACCCCCACCCCCCATGCAGTAGTTGGACTAGACATCCAAGATGAAATGGGAAGGCATGAAGTGGGTCATATTGACAACTCGATGAAGATACCTCTCAATAATGGGGATGGCTGCAGGTTTGAGGGCCGTTTCAGCATCAACAAGGTGAGTAGGCATGACAGTGGGTAAGTGTGTGCTGGCTGGGGAAATGCTAGCAAGATCCATTCGTAAAATGCTCATGAAAATCTGTGTGTCAGGGTCTCTCCTATAGAGTGTATGCTCGTGTCCCTAATCAGCGGTAAGGTTGTTTCTCGGTGCTGCAGACCAGTGTGGGGAGAGGAGACTGCGTAGTTAGACCCACAGAGAATGTGTTAGAGCAGGCTTTTTCTTCATTCTCCAAAACAGGTTATCAAGACAGCATTGCTTAACAACAGAGAGTAGCTCTGTGTTGCAGCCAGTGCTGCCCTTTCAGTGCAGTAGCCTAAAGTTTAGGGGATGTCTGAACTCCCTACAAATGCCAAATGGCTTCTGTGTTTACTCTTCACGACTTTTGCACCTCCAAAATGTGACTCACTGTGCAGAGGTCTTTGGCAATGTCTCTATCCAAGTGCTCTTTTGTTCTGAGAGCCGCAGAATGACAGGAATGTTCCCTACTAGAGGGTGCCAGCATAACAGAAGCAGCTCCGTGCTGAGATGTTTGGAATACATGCACATAGCCTCTGCGCATGCTTTGTCGGGATGCTCTGCTTCTGTCTCAAAGAATGAAAATCCAGGCCTGGAGGAGGCTCCCCTCTGGGATGGGTGTGTTCAGAATTGAATAATCTTGCTATGTAATGCTGGAGATGACTAGCTGGGGTGGGGGAGGCAGTGGTGGGGCCCACTGATGTCCTAAGAACAGCACACCCTTTATTCACGCCTCCTCATGTACCACAGGCTACAAAATCCTACTTCCTTCTTTTCCTCCCAGGTCATGTTAAATCCCATCTAAAAATAACAGGCAGAACCTCTTACTGATTCTATGGCATGGACAGGATTAGGGACTTAAAAAGAGGACGTTTCTTTCCTCGCCTCTAAGCCACCAAGATTACTGGCAACTGATAGTCCACAAAACTGGGAAAGGGCTTCTTGAAAGGTAGTTCTTGTTCTGTTAATTCCCAAAGCACAGAGCTGAAACACTTGGGGTTGTGTCTGCTAGATGTGGTGTGTTCTGCTCACCAAAGCAACTCAAAAGGGGGTTGCTGTATGTGGCAGTGAGGAACTCCCTTCACTGCTTAATCTGTGAAAGGCCACTAATAGCCTTGTCTCATATAGTGGTTGCCACTGCTGTCAGAGGGAGGGGACCTGGCTCAGGGCTTCTGGCTCTGAAAACCCGAACCTCTCATGTATGAGCGGGAAGTCTGTGGTCCCTTGGCAGAAATTTTACAGGCTTCTGTATGAGCTGGTATCTGGAATGGGACATGGCCAGGCTTTGAAACTTGACCAAGGGTTGCTCGTGGGTGTTATTCTCAAACCTGAAGAGGGAGGACGAGGTAACAGTGAGGTGACTCTGTGTACTACTTACTGCCGAGGCTGCCACCCTGTTTACTGAGCTTGTGTATGACACAGCTTGTGTCCACACCTGAAAGTGTTCCCAGGAGTGCACTGCTGTTCCTCAAGTCATTTAAATTAGCTTTCCTGAAAGCACATGGAACCGGCATGTGGCCTCCCGTGGCCCTGCTGGTGAGGCGTCTCTGCAGAGAGCACAATGGGCACCAGTTGTATAACCATCCTCCCACTCTTGTCTTAGGCCATGCCAGATTGCTCCTCAGTGTTGCTTAATTTCCCAACCTTTTCTCAGTATGAAAAAATTCTTGCACCCTCCATAACAGTGACTGAGCTGAATCTGCTAAAAGACTTCATGGAGTAGGCCTGGTGACCTGAAAAGTGTGTGCGTGCTAGGGTGATCCCATCAGAATGACACCAGTGCTCATTTTATGTCTTGGAACTGAGTCCTTAGGTGAAATCTGTATTTTTCAGAACTTTGTATTTCCCTCTGCTTGAAAAATTAAACCCAGAAAATCCCATACAGGAAAGGGCTGTTGCCAGGGCTAGAAGCTGAAGATCTAACTTAGTTTGTATGGGAAGCCCTATTGGTTTTGATGGGGTTTTTTTCTCTTTTATAGAAGACTCGTTCTTATGCACAGTCTTCTCAAATGTGAAGTTGCTCATGACCAGTACTACAATAAGAATATATCCACAGCTTTCTTGGGTTGTTCTGCAGCAGTGGGCCCATTTACAAGTGCGAGATGTGGGAGTAAAACATTAAGCAACTGTTTGTTGCCTGTCAGAGACATGAATCTTATTTTAATAGGGATGAAAGACGTAGCCTTAAGTGTTAGGAATCCCTAAAGTTGGGAGTGATCCACTCATCACCTCCTAGTCAGCAGCGGTAGCACGGTCAGGGTGCCAGACTCTTGGGCTGCAGGATTTAACCCATCTCCGCTCTGTGTGCAGTATGGTGGTGTTGGTCAAGTGCAGGAAGGTATTTCAGAGCCTTTCTCTGACATGCCAGAGGTTGTCCACTGCTAAGTAGATACAGCCTGCCAGGCTGGATGGATCCAGGCATTTCTACTTTATATCACAGAGGCTAGCAATGCCTTGAGGGATAAAATGTGAAATCCTCTCTTGACTAATTTTAGGTCCCTGGTAACTTTCACGTGTCAACGCACAGTGCCACTGCACAGCCTCAGAATCCTGACATGACTCACATCATCCACAAGCTCTCATTTGGGGACAAGTTACAGGTGAGTTCTCTTCCCTGAAAATTCCCTGGCTCTAGGGAAATGAATGCAATGAGAGTGACTTTAATATTAGACACTTTGGGTTTATGGAAGGGCCATGTACATTGTGGGGAGGACATAAGAAAGGACTGCTTGGGTAAGCAAGCCCATCCCTTGCATTCACGCAGTGTACACTCAGTCCAGAAGAGTTTGCAAACTTGTTTACATGCCACCACTTCAGGAAGGAGCAGTGTTCAGTCACAGAGTGACTTTGCCATTTTCATCTGAAACTGAAAGTGTTTCTGGAAAACTATGTGGCTGTCTTCCTGCAAGGAACAGAAATGAGGATTCATGGCTTTGCAAAATCCTATGCAATACTGTTTTCAGTATTAGTACAGCAAACAAATCTTGACTGCCTTTGCAGAGGAGCAGTGAGTATAGGAAGGGAAGATGAGTGTTTGCTACTGTCTTTACCAAGGCACCAGTCAAGTTCTTTCTAATTCACTTCACTGTACTTGTATAGCAGACACCTATTAGTCAAATTTGTTCTATGAAACACAAGTTAGACTTAGAACTACCAGTTCCCTGCTGGGAAGAAGCTGAATGTGTGCACTTGCCCAGTGGATAGAGTTTCACCAGGTGTTGCAAGTTATATAATAATTCCTGATTTCTCAATAAGGACAGATTACAGCACTTCTGTAGCCTACTTCCAAGGAGCTAGCATCATAGGTGGGAGTTATGTATGTGCACACCCAGTTTGCGACTCACCCTAAACATTGCTTACCCATAGTCTCTCTGTAATCTTCTTTCCTCAGCACAGACGTCTCATTAGTCTGCTGCTTGTACACCCACTTCCAAAACCCTTTTTCATGCTAACAAGTCTAAGCATTGCTTTGTAGTCTTCTGATTCTGCTCCCGGCTTCTTTTAGGAAATATCTTGTGTGGGAACGCTGAAATATTAGCATATAAATAAGCTTGGCTTAATGGCTGTAAAGCACACTGAGATTATGAAAAAATATTAGTTAAGTGCTAATAGGGAGTTCTGCAGTTTGCGTGGGAAATCGGTGCTCTAAGGTAGCGTTCCCATTGTTTTATCATGGACTCTTTGAGTAATGTAGCTGAAGTGTGAATCAGCATGAATGATAGGAAAAGCCTGGGCAGCTGGGGGCAAAGGAGCAAGCACCTTCAGTTCTGGTGGTGAGAAACCTGTCTAGCAAATATATAGTTGGCTCCTGATTTGGACAAGTTCTGATTAGTATTTTCTAAGTTTGAAATAACTACTCATCATCTCCATATACAAGAATGGAACATGTAGGTGCTGCTGATCCTGTAGGCAAACGTGAGTTCAACAGCACAAATTAAAGAAGGATACGTTCACTAAACAGGTGCTCAGCAAGCAGTGTAGAGAGTCAGCAAGTATGGAGAGCTTTAAATCTATCTAGATACACCTTTGAATATTTTTGGGTTGTCTCCACCTGCTTTGATGTAATGTATGCTCATATTTCTTAAGGAGGGTGAGGAGCTTCTCATTTGCTTGTGTCATGTGCTGGGAGTCAGTTCTCATGTTGTTGTTACCAGCTCTGCCAGAATGATCCACTACGCTATGTGCTGTGTTCTCCTGAAAAAACAGCCTGTTTGAAATAGAGATTTAAATCTCGTCTGGCATTGAATGAGCTTCAATTCTTCCGCAGTAGTTCATGCACAATAGTGGCAGACTTTTTGTAGTTTTTTTCCTTGTGTAGATGAGACCAAAATTCAAACCAATGAGGTTCTTGCATGTCAGGTAACCCAGTAAAGAGAGAGATGTGGAAAGTAGGAGGTTATACATTTTTAATCATAGAATTCTCTTGAGTGCTAGATCATGGTGTTGAATAATCCTAGTTTTAACCTTGTGAGAGGTCTTGTCTTCCCTTGATAGTTGCAGGATTGGAAGTTATTTCAGCCTGCTGTTGGACTCTGCCTGAGTTATATGTCCAGTTATGTGTCTTTGCCTTTGTTTGCAGAGGTTAAAGCCAAGGGTTTTTAAGGCCTTGGCAAGCATCTTTTTGAGGTCCATGTTGCAGGAGAGTAAAGTGTTGGCACTGTTAAACCACTGACTAGGCTCCTGTGGCACTAGTCCAAGCACTAGATCTGGCCTTGGTAGTGCAGGGCAGTCCTGAGAACGTCTGGCTAAACAGGCTTGCTTAAGTTCTTTGTTGCAAAGCATTTTGTTACTGTGGCCAAAAGCTTACTCCTTGTTGAAGTCCCTCCAGGTACTTAACAAGGTACAAACAAGCATGTTCCCCTGAGGAACACACCTGTGCACTTTGTAGAGCAGAGATTAATTAACAATCTACGGACAGCAAATTTTGTAATGGGAGTCTAGAATATTCCACAAGGAAAATCATGGTAAAACATCAAACTGGGAGTTACAAGTGCCATCCCTGTTGCAAAGATAAGATATGCAAATGCACCAAAGGACCTGATGGCACAGAAAGAGGCAGTTGTGGAGATGTCTGGTGGCTTTGTCTGTGTGGAAGCTCTGTAACTCACAGCTTTGCAAACTCGCTGTGTAGAGAGATGCAGAACAGACGGCTTTTACATGTAAACAGAAGTGTGGATGCTGGGGAGCCAAGGACAAGAATGTAAGTCCAAATATGCAGGTACCTCGCAGGTTAGATACAGTTGTTCGCTGGGTAACCACTCAAATATTTATTGTTAGAGTGTTCAGAGTGGACCTTAAGGTCTCTGGCCCAGATATTCTATGAGAGACTTACTTCTCAGCTGTATCAAGAATGGCACATGATACTGTAACCTAGTCCAGGGACTTCTCTTTCTTTGTATGCTATTTACAATGAGTAAAGAGTATGTACGGTCTGCACGTGTAGTTCGGAAATGGTTGCTGTTGTGTAAAATATCTGAAATGCCAGCAGACTGAAAGGCACTGTAGAAGGTTGAGCTGTTGCTTTTGCTCTGTGCTTGTTACCAGCACCTTGCCAGTTGAACTTGCTGATGATTTTGTCTCTCTCCTGAGAAAGGAAGTTTTAGAGAAACGGATTCAGTTGCTGCTTCCTCCAAGCCATTGTCCACTCTGTAGCATTCAGAATAGGGAAACATCCATTAGGATGAGACATACACACCCACGTGCTGTCAGTTGTTGAGAGGGTCTGGGAAGGAGATTGCATTGCCCTGTTAGTGAGGTGAAACTCTGTCACACCCATGACCAAATACTTCTTCCAAACTCTTCTTCCCTATTGTCTTAAGGTCAAGAATTTCTAGGTTGTGGAGTTATTTGTCCTTTCTGTATAGCTTACTGTACATTATGTGAATGATGCAACCTCTATCTACAGCTGTTGCTGTGGGGTTTTCCCTGTCTAGAGAGTTCACAGATTGATTAGTCTGGTGGACGTCAGACTCCAGATCATAGTATGTGGAAGACATGGGATGGAAATCCTGTTATTCTGGGCAAACAGATACTTGCATGCCTGGGACCATCTGCAGGAAAAACTGAACGGATGGCAGTGTTGGCATGTGTCCTTCCCATCTCATTGCGTGTGTGGTGTGAAAGCTGGGCTAATGACTTAAAGCTGTACAAGCCCAACTGCTCTGCCATGAGCTACCTTTACAGGTCAGCTCTTGAGTTTTCACCTGAATATGACTCCCATTTATTTCCCTTTCAGCCTGAAAAATCAATTTTACAGTTAACTACGAAAAGCTCTTAGGAAATGTCTCACAATGAAATTTCACAATTGGCCTCTTCCAACTGCAATTCCTTTAGCTTTGGAGTGGTTTTGGAGTTTCATCTTTTAAGATGTTGTGCAATCAACTTTTTTACTTGGAACCAACCTCTGTGGGTGATGGTCACTGGAAGATATTTCAAGTCATCTTTTACTGGGATGAGGCTTTGTTTTTGGAACGGTTGAATCAGGCTGATCTCCTTGTTACAGGACAGGATAGGGAAGGCAAAGGTCAAGAGTACAAAGTCAGAGCATAGTTTCTTCATACGCCTTTTTGCTTTCCAGGTCCATAACGTTCATGGAGCATTCAATGCCTTGGAGGGAGCAGACAAACTCAGCTCAAATCGTATGTATTCTTGGTGGTTACAGGTCTTAGCCACTCTCTGCAGGAGGGAAAACAGGGCCATTCCTGAAACACGAGTGTACCCAGAAGTCTTTAATCTGCCTCTTTAACCAAAATGATCCAGACATTGCTGACTGACATTCCTATTTTCTCTGGTATCATGGAGAAGTCTTAGCCTAAAAGGTCCTTTGCAGCCCTTCTGCAACCTGGACTTTGTCTCCAGCTCTGTTATGACCAGCTAAGAGTTACTGAGGTTTTTTAATCCATGTCTTATTCCCATAGCTTCCCTTTGCTGCTGTCACCTCCACCAGAACTTTTCCTTGTTCTTGTGTTGCAAGTTAGCTCCTACCTTAAGTTCTACCCGGTGGCTGGAAAGATAGACATTTTCATTGCCCTTCTTTATGACTGGCAGCACACAAAAAAATTTCCAGTTGCATGATACAATTCAGCATAGTTTTTCTCCTTCAAATGTTCAGGCTCCTGCAGGGTATCAGTCTTGTCCACTTCTTGGAACAAAGTTTCTATGGCTGTTCCTGAAGCTAGGCAATTGTGTTGGTTTTTTTTTTTTTATTTTTCCTCCAGGAGCCAAATGTCATTGTGTTGCACTTGGCCAAAGGATCCTGCAGAGAAATAATTTAGAATTACGTTTTAGAACTGTCAGCAGACACAACAAATGGCACAAGCCATTTAAATAATGAAAAAAATGAATTAACAATTGTTAAGCAGCTGTAGAAGAAGGAAGAATAGAAAGACAGATGGGTGCACAAGGAATGGGACTACACAGGTTGTGATTCTTCAGCTTTTTCTGTCAAAAGAAGCTCAGTGAGTTGCAGCTCTAACCTTAGCTAGTTCATGATTTAAACAGGACAGCTTTTTGTGGTGCTAAGTCTTACCGTTTATAGCTGCAAGCCTTTAGGAAGGTTCAAGTGACCCAAACTCATGTCTGTGGGTTGTGGTGCTTCAGTCTTAGAAAGGTGGGCAGGTTCTGGTGTCATCCAAGTACCTTTCAAAGTTTTGTACAAAAGACGTAAATGTAGGATGTGAAATTGTCACTTTGTCACAGAACCTGAGACGAGGAGGAGGGAGATACCTTTTCTGTGACTTACTTGTTTTAGTTTATTTCGCACATTGAAATGTTATGTAGGCTGTGATTCCTTTCTCTGAATGCTAAATTATACTTTCCTTTCCTTTCCTGACCGCAGCTCTTGCATCTCATGATTACATACTGAAGATCGTCCCAACGGTGTACGAAGACATGAGCGGCAAGCAGCGATATTCATACCAGTATACTGTAGCAAATAAGGTACAGCAGCAGGTAGTTCTCAGAGAAGCTCCCCATTGCAGCCCAGTGGGTGCATGGAGGATCTTCAGTCATTCCTTCTCCCTCCTGCTCCTCTGCTCTGCAGCCACCTACATTTGTTTGTAGGTGAGGAGTAGCCTCTGCTGGGAGAATGAGGAACTGAAGCTCTTCAGAGTGGGCCTTCCTGTTGCTCCTGGTGCTGGCATTTACCAGGCTTGGGATTGTGTGGAAGGTTTTTACATGCTGCAGGAGCTTTTGTGATGTGTGTCAAGATGTATCTGGATGGAAACTGCAATCCAACTGAACATACAAAACGGCACTTACACGTGGTTTTGTTAATAAAACAGTCTCAGTTGTGGTGGATGCATCAGACAAATAAGTTAGTGGAGTTTTTAGCTTTTTACAGATGTTGATTTCAGGTATTAAGCCACTGAATCTGCAGCAGTAAATATGTACCGGCTGACTATTTCACAGTGCCTACTTTATTATAGTGGATTATGATAGTTATTGTAACTTTGTAAGTCTTAAAATAATTTACATTAAATGTGAAGATATTTGTATTTTAATAGTAGAATGTACTGAACTTAAAAAAAGTCCTATTTGCTTTTTAAGGTAAAGAGCCTTTTTTGATTTAAAATGTCAGGCACTAAGTGAAAGTCCAGAATCTGTTTATAATATCTAATTACTGCTAGTTTGCCATAACTGAGAAGCAAGCATGCAGTCTCATGGACTAGTTCTCAGATTAACGTTCCTATCTAGTGACTTTTGGGCTTGCTTGTGCAGTGTGTCGCAATGATTTGGATGTCTCCCTCTATTCAGATTACAGTGTATTTGTTCTGCTTAATGTCACAACTGTTGTTCTGATAAGACTTTTGCGACGCAAGTTCTGAAAGTAATTTCGAAAATAGACAGCAGGAGCTTTTGACACTTCTGCGAGCATGGTTGCAAATGGGGGCGTTTGGCCAAGACTGACTCATTAGGGCAGGATTGCTGGTGGGGAAAAGGGGAGAGGAAGGAAAAAATGAGGTCAGTTCTATCAAAACTGAAGTGCAGAGAAACAGTGCTGCATCTGCGTTTTCATCTCATTGAAAATAAAAGTTCTCTTATCAGTGCTTTAGTCCTTGACTCCTGTACTGATCGGTAGGAAACAGAAATCGGAAGCCATTGGAATAGTCTGGCACAGATTGACTAATATGAAGAGATGTGTCTTCTCTCCCCTTTTACCTCCTAGACCCTGTTTCCTCACTTCCCCAGATAGCCACTGTCCCAAGATACACTGCAGAACTGCTGCAACAAAAGCCCTGAAAATATTATGACTAGGGATTTCAGCTGCATTCTGCTTCTCTTGTCATCCTTGGAATAAAAAAATAAATAGAGGGAAACTTGGGATTTATATGAGACTAATGAAGGAGATAGATGCTGTTTCACTAGCTCCCTCTGAGCTCATGGAAAGTAGAATTATCTTTTTTGTATCATGCTCAAGGGCATCCTATTGCTTGTCCTCTCTTCGCCTCTCTGAAGTATATGAGGTTGTCTTTGCCTCTGTGTGAAGGAGAATTAAAACAGAAGAGGTCGTCTGAGTTGGCAGGCATGTCACAGGGCTACAGAAAGGAAGGGCAGCTGGGTAAAGAGGCAGCGTCTGCCATGCCAGTGCTGATGGCTTTCAGTAGATTGCCCAGTCCCCAGCCTACTTCTCTTTGATTTTCCTTCAGTCTGTCAAGATAAATGTCCTGATCCTTGAAACTTGATATATATTTCCACTGAGAGCACAGACAAAATATTAGCTCAAAAAGATGTGACTTGATACTAAGTTGATGTTAGTATCTGTTCTACATTGGCACTGTGCCTGTTGATGTTGTCCTGTGGCTGATTGATTGCACTGTACCTGTTATTGAAGAAATGTACTAAGGAGATTATCGCTGGCAATCTGAAGATGTCTCTTCTGAAAAAGCTTGGAATATTTTTGAAGCTTTGCCAATAATTTTCTGTATACAGTTTCATTTTGGCTTTCAGCGTGATTTTTACACATGGTTTAAACATGGCGCTACATGATTCATACTGAACGGGCAAAGCAATTCACAGTGTTGGTCCCAATGCAAAGGGGCCTCACGGATGGGAGCTGCTGCCTGCTATTTGAGGCCACGGACAAGAAGGGATTTTCAGGTTCTTGCAAACTAAATTCTGTTTGATGAATATCCCAGTATATGGTTCACATACAGACAGTACAGAAACTTCACCTGCAACCACTTGTATTTAAATAGAACAGGTCTAAGCTAGAGAAATCAATGACAGCCTTTCTATTTACTTATGTAACTTTGAAAGAAGGCGAGAATAAGCACCGTTGCCCTGTGTTCCGAGCTATGTCATTATCAGACTGTAAAGATCTTATTTTCCTATTTGATAAAGATGGGGGGTGAGCAGTCAGTCATACAGGGATTAACTGTTTGCTTCTTTCAGTATGATCATTAGTACAAAAGAGTGGAGCAAGGGCCAGATCCACAGAAGCAGTTTTATTGGAGACACTCTCTCTGGAATGAGATTGCTCACATTTTCTGCCATTTTTTCTTTTCTAGGAGTACGTAGCCTACAGTCACACTGGCCGCATTATCCCAGCTATCTGGTTTCGTTACGATTTGAGTCCCATCACAGTGAAATACACAGAGAGGCGACAGCCTTTATACAGGTTTATCACATCGGTGAGTTACTCTAAACCTTTAATTCTCCCTTCTCTTGCCTGCACCTCATTTCTCTTTTGAGCATTTCTTGTCCGGAAGAATTGAGTTTCTGCTTCAGAGCATTGTGACATGATTGAAATAAAGCAGTACATCACCACAATTGTACTGAAGTGTAAGTGAGGTAATTGGTAACCCCTGTGCTCTGACGATTTAATAGCTAGGCACAAGAAGAAAGAAAATTATCCTATTCCAGAAGTGCCAAACTCTGTCTAGGCGGGATGGGCACTATTGCAGCATGTTAGAAACTTGGAAGTAAAGCTGCTGTGGTATGCAGTAAAGCATGCTGCAATAAACTGTCTCTCTAATGATGAGATTTAACTTGATGAGAATGCAGGGCAGTTGTTTTACTCACTGCTGCTGCTTGGCTTAATATGGGTTTGCCAGTTCCAGGCATTTACTGCTGGGTAGAAGTGGAGAAAAGCTGCATTATCAAGAGGTGTTTTCCCAACAAGTTATCTTTTGATCTATCCAGATAACATCCTGCAATACTGATCTCAGCATCTATAATAAAGCTGTACTGTCCAAACTGCTAGTTGGGCAAAGAGCCAATTAAAGGTCTGCCAGAACTTTAAAAAATGTATCCTGAGGGAGTTGGCTTAAAATTTAAGCTGCAGTCTGCTGTGCCAGTGAGGCATGGTGGAATGTGAAGTAGTTGATAAATTTGCTGGAATGAAGACCTTGGATTTTGATTTTTAAACTGTTTGAATATTTTAATTGGAAGTAACATAAACAGTGTGGCTATGTTGCACTTAAAAGATTTTGATTTTGCAGCTTCTGGTAAACACCAGGTTCCCTTCACTTAACTTCAGAAACGCGTGTGAGCTCAAGGATACACAAATACCAAGAGAAAGGCGCTTGAAGCAAAATCTAAATGTCGTGGTTTAAGAACTTCTCTTCTTAGCATGTCTGTTTGGTTTCAAAACATAATCCTAAAAAAGGTCTAGCATTTTATGACTTGGCATCTTGTACTGCCTATACTTCTTTCCTTAACAATATGGTCTCATACGCAAAGGTTTCTTGTGCATCTTGTTGGGGGTGAGGGTGCAGAGGTGTTTTTAGTGGGAAAGCATTGATAGCTGGCATTATTCTTTGTCATGTCCGTTGCTAACACTGATTTACTGCTAATATGCCATTGTGTGCATGTAAATAGCATCCTTGTGGAATTTGATGCCATGCTTCAGAGTTTACATAAGGAGTCCATGAGAGGCTTTCCTCAAAGATTGCCATAATGACCTTTTGGATTTGAGATGGCCATAGCTAGAATTTTGCCCCATTCTGTCTGTAAAGTTAGCCAGGTATGTGCTGGCTGCTGGACTGCTGAAGGAGAGTGTTACAATTGATTTTTGTCTGCTTTGTTTGGTCTTATAAATGGCTGTAGTCTCAAGCAGCTCCCTTGGGGCCATTCCCATTGAACGTCCTCCTGATGGAGACGTGTGGATGACATCGGTATCTGCAGTAGCTGTTAGGCAGTGCATCAGGCAGCTGTGCCATGCCCTTTTCAGATGTGGCTGACTTAAAGGCAGAACTTTGTTACAGATGCTATACCGTGGCTATCAGTCTGGACCATCTGGCCCTGATACAGATGACCTGCTCTTGCTCTCATTTAGGCTAGGAATGTTTTACTATGGGGCAACCTTGGCTGTATATGTGCTACGCTTAAAGCTTTACAGCATTCAAGGTGGCATTGAAAAGGTAGGAGCAGTGAGGAGCAGTGCTGCAGAGGATCAAAACACCTTTTGTCCTAGGTTTCCTTGCCCTGCTTTGATGACATGATCTGTTCTGTTGTCCTTTCCACTGTTTTAGCCCCTTTCTGTATCTCCAGCGTGGCCTTTTGCATCACAGTTGCTCTGGATACCGGTTAGTGATAATCAGCACTGGGCTGAGGTCCAGACAGAGATTGTGCGGGGCATCTGGAGTCGTTGGCAAATGGGACTGGCCATGGAGGGCATCAGCTTTCTCTGAGCAGCAGCTGCTTAATTTAAAAACCACAAGAGGGGCTCTAGGGTATAGGGGGGATCACCTGCGACTCCTTTTAGTGAGCAGATTGTTTACTAGGGCACCTGTGTGGCTTTCAGCAAATTTAAATGCACCCTAGGGATGGGGGAGGATCCTGTGGGCTTGAAAGAGACTTTCAGCAGTTAGAGATGTGACACAGTGCATGGCTGAATGTGGCCGCCTGTGAGGGGAAATGGTGTCAGTGTTGGAGGGAAGCATACGCTGTGGAGGGACGATCCCATGTGGAGTGATCAGATGAGAGAGGGGTGTTGACTGTTCAGCAGAGAGCCAAAGGAATCTCATTCTGCTGCTGGGAAGGTTGTTTGATTCTCTTTGTTAGTAATGAGTTTGCCCCCAGAAAACTTCAGCACTGCGAAGAGCAGCATTATAGCACTGTAACAGTGTTCCCAGGTCTTTTGCGTTCCCAAGGGACCCTCTCTAACTCATGCCTGCGCCTTGGGTTTTTGTGGTAGGAAGAATTATCCTCATTTTCTGTATCGTGTGAGAGGCGCTTCTTGTGCGGGACAAAAAGCATTGGTTTAGCACAGACTTTACTTTTTACATGTCACACTTCAAAAAATTCGGTACTAAGTAAGATTTTATATTGCTTGTGGGTCAGTGCTGCCACTGTCACTGTGCTGTGAATTTGCCATTGATCCTGGGGTTAACCACAGACACCTGGCACAGTGTTAAATACAGTAGTTTTTGCCTGTTAAACTGTATTGCTTAAAATCAAGGCATCTCCCCATAAAGAGAAGCCATTCATGGCCTCGTGGTTGAGGTTATGGAGCAAGGGGGAAAGTTTCACTGCTGAAAATTTATGAGTTCCCGTAAGTGGCTAAACTGAAAGAAGTTTTTATCATGAGGTAAGTCTAGGGGCTGGGAGGGGAGAGCAGGCAGAAAACAAGCTAAAGTTCTGTCAAAGCATTCAAAATTCAAAGAAAAGAATAGGATTTTTTTCCTGATACGAGAGGACTCGTCTGCCCTCTAGGTATGAAAAAAATTGAGCTGGAAATAACGGGGGGAAAAATGGTTGCAGGGGGAATTATTTCAGCCATGGGACCTGTTACTGACAGATGTCATAGACTCAGTCCTGTGGCGTTTTTAAAACCAAGACAGTGTTGTTCTACAAGATGTGCTTCAGGTCATCCAGAAAGCTCTGAGTGGGATTCTGCTTCTTACCTTACTAGGAGTTACCCGAGGGTCCTACTGGTCCCCTCTGTCCTTAATAGTAATTTTCATATTTTAAGACATCCCAGAGGTCCACACTCGTGTATCTGACGTTTGCCTTTCTGTCATTTTCCTTGCAGCCTTGCCTCCTCCCACATATCCACTTGTGTTTTCCTTTAGACTTCAGCCTGCATCCCAGCCACTAACCTATAGTAGTATTTTGTTCAAACCGCTCATGTGTACCCCACATTGCGTGGTCTCTCGGTGCTGTAATTATTACACCTCTGTATTCCTTTTCTTTCTTCCTTTAATAGTTGGGCCTGAGTCAAACTGTAACTTCACGAAGCCTAATGCAGGTTGTTCCCAGTATAAAACTCCATTAAATATGAATAAGTGCATGATGCCTAACTTCCTTCAGTGCTGCTAAGGAGCAACACTCTGTGCGTATTAGAACTGTGATGATAAAGAAACGTGGTGGTGCAGCTTCTGTGCTGACCTAGAGACCGACCCTAGTGCTGCCTTTTTTTTGTCACAGCGGAACAAGAGGGCTGTGTGCGTGCTGGGAGGCAGGCTCCAAGCGAATGCCAGGTGTGTGTGACTCAGAAACACTCAGCAGTACAGAGCTGTGCAGATTAATACTTTTTTTTTTTTCTATTCCCTACCCCCTTGCACTGCTGCACTGATATCAGATTTTCCTACCATATGATGCAAAATCTGAGCATTGGACGTTTTTTCTGTTGTTTGCAGTGTAACATCTCCTGTCAGCTGGGCTGCTGTGGACTGAAATAACCCAACACCATTGCGGTCATTTTCCCTGAAAAGTCACCCTGCGTCATGCTCTGAGGGATAGCAGGGAGGGGGGCGTAAAGGGCAGGAGCTGGACTTGTTCCCTAAAAATACTAACTTTGCCTCAGGCTGGTGCTCTGGTTTTTGAAGCGTTTATCTGCTGGAATGCCAACTGTCCTGCAAAAGCCACGTTTGCTGCAGCTCCTCATTTCATCAAGCTCACTAAACACATGTATCCCAGTTATAAATACACATGTAAACGAGTGCTTTATTTCTCGCTGCCTTCGCTCACCATTAATGAACTGTTTGTTCTGTTGCCACCGCTAACTCCCTGCCGAGCTGAACGCTGCTGCTCTTATGTTACTCCCTTTGTAACTTTGCCCATGGGGTGTAGTGGTGTGTGGGAGAAGAGACACGGCACGGTAGGTCTAGTGCGATACTGGTTCCCTTCTGTGTCAGTTGTATTGCATCTCCCTGATACCCTGCTACATTGGCTTGCTGATTTTGGGTTCCTCTCACTCTCTTGGCTTCTAGCTCACAGCAAAATCCCCCTTCTCTTAGGCAGGCCCTTCTCAGAAGATATGCTCTGTACCTTGTCCCCTTCTCACTGACCTGGTGTCTCTTATTCTCAGAGCCATCTAATCCTACGCGCTCAGAGCCATTTAATCCTACACAATGTAAAAGACTAAATTAAAAGAGCATCACAGTTATGAAAGCAAAAATGTGGGAGTTAGGAAATGCCAGGTCCTGTGTAATTATAACCTCGCTGTTAAACGTTATTAGGTTACATTATTGTGTCTCATGCTTTCCATGTGAACCCTGCCTTGTGCGGGGCGCGAGGTGGGGTGGCACCCTGTGAGCAGCGTTTCTTCCCATCCTATGGTATTTGACTGCTGCCCTGTTACTAGCAGGTGGTTTGTATTAACCCGGTCCTGAGTACAAGTCATATATTTCCACAAGGACTCCGAGACAGCTACTGTCATGGTATTGAACCCTTCAAATACGTTTTCCTTCAGTTTCCCTGGGAGGCAAGTTTGGCATTGTCCCCATTTCATAGATAAGGGAATTGAAGCAATGTGTTGCAAAGTCCATAGCTGGTGCCCCCTGATTTTGGGCGCTCCCAGCCAAAGTACCTTTGGTTTGACATGTCAGAATACTTTTGCATTTTTCTAGCACTTGAGAACTAAAGTAGGCTGTTACGCTAATCAGATTAATTTTTTCCCTAACTCTGTTCTTGAAAATGACTACATGTTTTTACTGGTGTTTAAATAATTCAACCCGAGACATCTTGCATGGAAAACTTTGGCCCACAGAGAGTTAAGTTGGCAGTGCTTTTGTAAGCAGCCCCGGTAATGGAAAGTGTTAGACAGACTTAGCTGTAGGTGTCACTGGTAGCTAGGTTCCTCTGTTAGTCACTGTCCTTCACATGCTATTTAAGTGTCTTTTGCCTGTTTGCAAATGCTGTATCTTGTGAAATAAAGAAAAGGCTACAAGGCCGTGGTATTTATAATAGAAAACAGTAGTAGGAAGATATGAGCAACACAGAGCTTCTAGAAAGCTTTGTTAGGTGGAGTTTAGCCCAGAGGAACAGCATTCATGCAGTAGTAGGCTCCTAGGAGCTGGGATTTATGGTTGGCTCAGGCTACGATGAGTTCAGGATAGCACTAAGTTATTCCACTGTAGGGAATGGTTTTCCTGAATGATTGTCATGTAATTACGTCCCCAGTACTGTCACCCGGTTCTTACCATGCTTCCAGAAAATTACCCTAGCAGTAGGCAATAAATCTTTCCCCGCAGTTTCAAGCCGCGTAAAAGTTTCCCTCATCGCTGACAAACCTGTTTCCTCTCTCTGTACATTTCAGATATGTGCCATCATTGGAGGAACATTTACTGTAGCTGGGATCCTAGACTCCTGCATTTTCACAGCATCAGAGGCCTGGAAGAAGATCCAGCTGGGGAAAATGCAGTAGCGGTGAAACTCTACCCTAGTCTCCAAGGACAGGAGCAAAGATTGAGAAATCTACCACTACCTGTATTTGTCTTTATTTCCTATTTGATTGAATCAGTAAGTTTTTCTCTAATCAGGCTGTTCAATGAAGACTTCTTCAACAAATCAAAGAAATCTCCTTGCATTTCAGAGCTCTGAATGAAAAATCAATGGAATCAGGGCATGGATTTCGATTCTCTCCCCCCCAGAAAGAGAGGTTGAAATACCATATATGAAATACGCTGTCAGATCTAAGTAAGGATGACAGTCTGTTCTCTGGGAGGTTCCTATGGCAGTGTACAAACTAGGTAGTAGATTGCAAAGAGTTGAGCTGTTGTGTGGCACTTTTTGGAATTCTGTTGGATTTGCATGATTAGACAATCGACTTTTGTATAAGGCAAAATTATACATTAGGAAGAAATTCCACCCGTGGTGCCAAAAAGGTAATGTATCTGTTGGAGAGGAATGGAAAGCGTTAGTCCCCGTAGCAAACTTTAGAGACAGAGGGCAGAAATAACATCAGGAAATGTTTTGTGCTTTTATTGAAAGCTCTTTTGTTCAGATATGACCTTTCTAATGAAATGAGCAAACGAGAAGAGGAAGCCTTCCCCCAGCTACCTTTTCCTGGGTAATCTGTGATCCAGGCAGCGGAGGGCCTTTCTTTTACTCTGGATGTAAAAGTGGTTTCATTTCTTCCCAGAAACTGAATATCCAGTCTTGTGTTTACAGGTGGCATGAAGTAAAAACCAAACTGAGCAACACAGTTTTATGTGGCCTTTGTTTTGAAAGGGAATAGTTGTCTTTACAGCATTAGCTTTTATTCTTTCCTATGTTTTTTAAACACAGACCACCCGACAGTCTGGATTCTGCACTTCTGCTTTATTATTATTATTGTTGTTGTTATTTTGAGAAGGGGTTGTATATTCTATGTGTTCAGAAAAACGGTGCAGCCTTCTGGGTGGATGATGAGCACAGCTTACTGTCTTGCTTTGTGTGTGTGTATTGAATACACCTGTCAAACACGGGAAGTCTGTCTTTTCAGGGTTTAAGGTGCCTCCCTTTTCCTTTAAAATGCAGTCAGGCATCTTTTCTGAGCCCTAGACTGAAACTGTTCACCCACAGGTACACCAGCAGCAGGGCAGGCATTCCCACAAGCTGGCCCCTGCTAGTAGTTGTTTTGGTTTATTCCTTAAAATGGTACCTGAGCTTCCATGCCCATTCGTTCAAGCCTTGTCTTCTGGGGCCTCCAATAAATGGAGGCGCAAGGGGAAAACTACTGCCAGGTGTGGCTTGCATGTAATGGTAGACATGAGTTCACTAAAATTAGACTGATACCCACCAGCGCATTTTCCATAGCCTCCTAAATGTTCCTTGAGTAGTAACAGTCTCTGCATGCTTTGTAAATATCTGAGCTGAGGATACACAAATGTTAAGTGTTCCAGGATGGATAAAAAAATCATGAAATAAAAATATCTTTCACTCAGTCAATGCTGTAAATTCTAAGGTGGGTGTAGGATTTCTCTTGGATAGTATCTACTGCCCACTGCCCTTTCCTGGAGGCGAGAGTATCCAAACATTATGCTGTAATAATAAGAATCTTTGAATATTCAGTGTTAATGCTAGAGTCAGATGCATTTCAAAAGTATTCTTAATACATGTCTGTTGAAATTGTCTCATTGCTTTGGAAGTAGGGAAGGTAGCCAGTTTTATCCACACACCAAAAAGAAGCAGCCAACCACCCTCCCCCTGCCGTCCTCTGCCCTGTAGTGAGTGACTTCAGACAAATTACAGCATTGGAATTTTTTCCCTGTTCTTATTATGGACTGATTGCTATTACTTTAGGTGTAAACTGGATTGTGTAACTTCCTGTATCTGTTAATGTATGGATAGATTTTATACATTTTTTTCCATTTACAAAAATCAACTTGAAAATGAGATGCTTGTCTTCATTTCGGTGCGTGAGTCCGTGTGCCCGTGAGCGGTACCCACTGGATGGGTGGTGGCTGTCTGGTGGGAGCTGGGATTTTCCATTGCAATTGCTTCTCTTGCTGGCTGAAGGATTTCCTCTAATCCACTGTGACCGGCTGCAGCTTACAGCAAAAATGTCCTAGTTTTTCCTCTTGAATTTGTTGAGTCTTTGCTCACAGCTTGTGAACCCAGTGGGTTACAAGGATGTAATTTTTAACATCTCAGCAGTGCATCCTTCTCCTGAACTGTGCAAGAGAACATCTTTGTAGCATGGTACTGTTAATTTTCCGAAATTTCTTCCCTGGTGCAATTTCTTCAACACAAACAAACAAAGCTGGTTGCAGATTCCTTGTGTCCCCTGGCGTGTTATTTCTGCCCTTCTCCCCATCCTCTGACTGAATTAAAGGCTGCCTTCTGTGCAGTCCAGGCCAGTTCTCTAAACCAGACCAGTGAAATTGTTTGGCTTTTTTTGGAAATAACAGATGCATACTTCAGTGTGCCTGCTTTCTCTGCCAGAATGTCTACTGCAATAACCTAATAAATCACATTTTTTTTGCTAGATGTGGAAACTAAATTGTACTTGAGTTCTGGCAAAATTCTGCTGAAGAAACAGTCCACACCTTAGTTCCCTAAACCAGGTCTAAGCCTTTGAGCACTGCCAAGCCAAGACTACCTTCTGGGTCTGCCGTAAGTTGTGGCGAGCTTGTCCTTCCGACGTGGCTGGCTTGCGTCATGTAATGATGCTGCATCTTGTGTTTACAGAAGAATCCGCTCTTCATCTCTCCAGATGTGAAAGCGAGGTAGTTACTGTCACAGCAGTCCTGCCCCGGGCATGCGTGCCTCATTAGATTTCTCTGGAAAGCGTTCGAAAATAAAAGTGACAAAATGAACTTAGTTACGCTTTTAAACATCAACGCAAGCAGAAATCATTTCAAACCATAGTGGAAGGAAAACCATCGATCATAGGTGTTCATCCAAATTCCTGACTTTGCTGTTTCAAGTCAGTATTTTGACAGAAGTATTTGTGGTTTTCCAAGAAAGACATCACTGTAGGAAGTAAAATATTTAGAACTTTTATATATTCCAGTTTAAATATGTCCCTCTAAACCTACACCCCATCATACGGTGAGAACTTTTGGTGTAGGATGCTTTGCAATGGTGGAGATAAAAATCTTTAGCTCTTGGGTAGCTGTGTTTAGGTATATTCTAGGCAGTATGTGGACTGCCAAAGACGATTTTTTTAAGACAAAAAATTGGAAATGGGGTAAGAAAAAATTGGAGGACATGCATTTGTGAATGATTTATCAAATAGTTGCATTCATCTACTGCTCTGTGAAAAGCAAAATCTGCAGCGTAGTTGGTAATGTCTGTAGTTAATTTCTGAATATTTCACATTTTAATTTGTTTTTTATTTGTGTGAAACACAAACTGTTTGGGCTGAACCTGACTGTGATGAGTATCAGCTTTAGAACAGTCATTTGAAGTTTCAGATGAAATATGTCAGTGAGGTATTTTTCCGTAGTCCTTGGAGGAGGGGTGCGAGGGGCAGGGGAGGGACGACGTAGTCCTCTAGTGTGTCATGGTGATGTTTTAAAGCACAAGTCTTTTGCGTTTTTACAGTGGAGATTATTAAGGAGTTCTGGCATTTCTCTTTTAATTTGCAACCTTATGTTAATATTAGCCTTTTTAGCTCTAGAATTAAAAATAAAACTTGTGTTTTGATCAGCTTCTCATTGCACTACTATTGCAAAATCAAAAAGGGCTTTTTTTCTCTTTTTTTTAATTATTATTTCAGTGAACTAAGAGTTATCACACAATGAAATCACTGTGAGCCGGGTCACCGTGCAGAAAGTTAACATGAGGCTCTTTTGTAATCGGCACTGAGTCATGTCTGGACATTCAGTGCTTGGTTTTGAACAGTACCAAGTGTCCTAACCTCCCTTTTTTTTTAATGAGAGGTGCATTGGACTGTGCTTGGAACTTGCTGGGTTTGGCTTTAGTCACTGTGCTGCCTGGTGGTTTTTGTTCCCCTCCTCCTTTAATTTCCTTTTAGCCTTGCTTCACTAAGTATTTAGAAATAAGTGTCCGAGGCAATTATTAAAGATTAAATGTAAAGAGTTACAACACGGTGAATTTGGGCACTATATATCTGCACCATATTAAGAAACCAATTCCTTTTAAGTTCTGATGTTGCTTACGTTGATGTCTGCTGTACAGCATCTTCACGAAGGAAGGGATCCTACTCGCTTCCAATTAACTTCAAATACAGACTGGAACTCTGATTTCCAGAAGTGCCGGGATGGTGCTTGAAGGCTCCTTACTAAAAGATGGGTAAAGGCACAGGGAAAGGCGTTTGTCCAACTCTCAGCCTGCTGCAACTCAACAGTCTGGAAACTTTTCCAGCCTACCTTTACTAATCAAAACCCAATCAAGTGTCTGTACTGCTCCTCACCCCATTGCTGGGTTCATTTCTACCAACAACGTCTTCTGCCATAAAGAACTTTCCTTGAGAATAAACTAGTCTGTGTCCTGAAAAAAAATGTAATAGCCCCCAAAATGCCAGCAGTCTGTGCAGGTGAGTTCGTTTATGGAGGTGGGGATGCAGGTGCCAGCGTGCACGGCCACGGGAGCAGGGTCGGGGCTGAGGAATTTGAACTTGGAAGCCCCAGGGCCCTTGTCTCCCTCGGCTGCGGGACCTGAGCTCTCTGCGCTGGGCTGGAGAGGAGCAGGGAGCTGGAGGTTTCTCTGCTTTCACCCGCTTGGGGGGGGCGGGCTGCTGCTGCACAGCTCTGCCTG